TTAAAGGTAGAACCAAAAACAATTAGAATACATTCTAAAGGTAGCTACACCGATGGGAAATTCAAGTGACACCAATATAGTGTAAAAATCCTGTGTAATAAAAATAGAAGAAAAAGAACTGCTGGTTGATTTAATACTCCTAGAAATTCAAGATTTTGATGTAATCTTAAGCATGGATTGGCTTTCTGCATACCATGCAAGTATTAATTGTTATTAGAAAATGGTTACCTTTAGTATTCCGGATCAACCAGTATTATACTTCAATGGTATCAAAGAAGATTTCCCATCATATTTAATCTCCTGTATTCGAGCTAATCGCCTCCGTCGGAAAGGGTGTCAAGGCTTTCTTGCCTATATCGAAGAAGATAGAAAGGAAAAGATAAATTTGGATACCACTCCGGTTATCCTAGAATTTCCCGACATTTTCCATGAAGAATTGCCAGGATTACTCCTTAACAGGGAAATTGAATTCTCTATTGAATTATTGCCAGGGGTAGCCCCAATTTCTAAGGCACTTGCAGAACTTAAGGAACTTAAACAACAATTGGAAGAATTATTAAAAAAAGGTTTTATCAGGCCCAATGTGTCACCTTGGGGTGCTCCGGTATTATTTGTTAAAAAGAAAGATGGGACCATGAGATTGTGTATCGATTAAAGACAGTTGAACCAAGTGACAGTGAAAAATAAGTATCCATTACCTAGAATTGATGATTTATTTGATCAATTACAAGGATCACAAGTGTTTTCAAAAATTGATCTTAGATCTGGATACCATCAGCTTAAGATTAAAAGTGAAGATGTTCCTAAGACAGCTTTCAGAACAAGGTATGGCTATTATGAATTTTTAGTCATGCCTTTTGGATTAACCAATGCACCTGCTGCATTTATGGATTTGATGAATCGGATCGTTAAGCCCTTTTTGGATAAATTTATTGTGGTATTCATTAATGATATTTTAATTTATTCCAAGAATCAGAAGGAACATGAGCAGCATGTAAGAATTGTATTGCAAATATTAAGAGAAAAGAAATTGTACGCCGAACTTAGTAAATGTGAATTTTGGCTTGAACAAGTGACATTTTTAGGACATGTCATATCAAAGGAAGGTCTATCAGTTGATCCTTCAAAGGTTGAAGCCGTTGTTAATTGGAAACAGCCAAGTAATGTGACTGAAGTTCGAAGCTTTTTGGGATTGGCAGGATATTACAGAAAATTTGTAGAAGGATTTTCTTGAATCACAACCCCATTGACTCGATTGACACAGAAAAATATCAAATTTGAGTAGACAAGTGAATGTGATGAGAGTTTTCAAGAACGAAAAGTTCGATTAACTTCAGCACCTATTTTAACTATTCCTGAGGGGAGTAGGGGATTTGTGATTTATACTGATGCTTCACATAAAAGCTTGGGTTGTATATCAATGCAATATGGGAAGGTAGTAGCATAAGCATCCAGACAGTTGAAAGAATATGAGAAAAAATATCCAATTCATGACTTGGAGCTGGCTGCAATAGTATACGCTTTGAAAATGTGGAGGCATTATCTATATGGTGAGCAATTCGTAATATACACGGATCAAAAGAGCTTGAAATACCTCTTCTCTCAAAAGGATTTAAATATGCGACAGATAAGATGGATGGATTTCTTAAAAGATTATGATTGTACAATCCATTATCATTCGGGAAAAGCTAACGTTGTGGCCGACGCTCTAAATAGAAAATCTATAGGAGTCTTAGCTCATCTAATGATCCAAGAAATGAGATTATTACAGGAAATAGTGGATTGACATCCGACTCCATCCAGTAATGATGTGGTAAGTATGATTGCCAAAATTAAGGCAGAACCTCAATTAATCCAACAGATTCGATCGGCACAAAAGAAAGACCCTCAGCTTATAACAATTGTAGAAGAGGTGAAGCTGGGAAAGAGAGAAGAATTCTCTATATGTTGTGAGGATCTGCTAAGATTCAAAGGTCGGGTTTGTGTCCCGAATGAT